GTCACCCCCTGCCACTGGCGAGGACAAAGCAGTCCGTGCATCCGTCACACTCGGCCGACCACCTTGGGAAGCTGCTGCCTGTGGGGCTCGGGGCGGCGGGACAATAACCCCTTGTCTTGTGCCTGCCTGGTACCATGCCAGGACATCCCCGGAGGTGACACATGTCGAGCGGGGAAGCGGCACGCCTGCCCGCACGTGCTTGAAACTGGGAGATTTCACTGGGATTTACCTCGAATACACGTTAAGACCATAAACCGCCTTATCCGAGGCTGCGGGCAGGCGCTCTGGCAGGGATGTTATCTCCTGCCTCCCGGTCCAAAGCGAGCAGGCAGCGCTATGGCACGCAGGCTAACAAGGGTTGCAAGGAGAAGTTAACTTTGGCAGTAAAAAAAATACAAAATAAAATGGAAATCTGGATTTTGTTCCCTTATTTTACACAGAGTTTCACAAAGCCAGTGCAGGCAGAGGGGGATCCAGCCCTGGCACAGCCCTGCTTCGCTGCCTGAAAAGGCAATTAAGGACTTGGGCGTGTTTGTTATAAGCGATTTCTTTCTCATTTCTGCTCCTGTAACAGCAGCATCGGGTCAAAGGGTTTTTACGAGGCTTTTGCATTACAGTTCTGTCATTTGCCTTTTTTTCTGGAGTCCAGCTTGAGGCCAGCACGACCAACAGCCCTGAGCCCAAACCAGAGAAGAGCCGCTGGATCGAGGGTGTCTGCGGGAGCAGTGTGCAGGATTGGGCCCTGGGGACCAGGTTATCAAACCAGCCCCGCGTGCAGCCGGGCACGGCTCCTCAGCGCTGCCGGTCGCCGGTCGGCAAAGCCCGAGTGAGTCTCCATGTGCAGGGGCTGGCGAGGTGCTTCGGCAACCACTGTGGCTCCCCAAAACGGCAGCCGCGGCTGCTCCGATTCCCACCCCGCCACCGTCCTTTTTAATTTAGGACCTTGGGGTTAAAAAAAATAAATAAATGCCAAGAGAGAGGCTTTTCTGATTAAATTACAGCTGGCCGGCGACGGAGCCGGAGATCAATTTCAATTTCTCCCTTTTTTTTTTTTTGGGGTGGGGGAAGCGCTGGGGATGGCGCAGAAGAGGGGGGAGAAAATCAGACTTGCTAATTTCCCCCTGTAATTATACCTAAAGAGGAACGGTGCCGCATGAGGTCCCTGGTGTGCGAGGAGTAATTTAGGGTTGCTTTGCGAGGCCTCTATGAAATTTGGAAGGAGAGGGGCTCCCCCCGCCCCCGGTAATTGTATTTCTGGTGCCGCAGATGGTGCTGGCTCCGGATACTTGCTATAAAGAAGATGGATCGCAGCACGCGGAGGGAGGCGAGGTGACGGCATCGCTCTCTCGCCTTCATGATGAGCATTATCCATCAGGCCCTTTACAAGGCAGCGGGAGCCGGGACAATAAGGAATTGCCTGGCAGGTAAAGGCCACCACATCCAGTGTCCAGTGTCCCTGTCCCCAGCCAGCGTCCCTGCCTCCGTCCGGGTTTATTTCCAGCCCATCTTCTTGGTTGTCGCCGTATCTCTCAGCCTTCCCAAACCTCCATAAAAATGAGGAGGAGTGAGGTCCAGGGCTTCCCCTAAGGGTGATGTAGCACCGTGGTGGCTGCACGGTCACACGTGTCTCTGTGCCCAGTGTTCGCCTGATATTCAGGATATCTCTTGAAACCGCGATCTTGGAAGACCCGTTAGGTCACAGGTGTCTGGAAGGGGGCTGAGGAAGAGCCCGGCCATCAGGGCTGCAAAGAAAAGCCTGGCGATGAGCCCGAGTGCAGCAGTGAAGGTCCCATGGGCTGGTGGTGGCGACCATGAATGAAGTAATTGATTTTTTTTTTTTTTTTTTTTTTTTTTGACGCTTGTGGCAGGGAAAATGGCTGTGTCATTTGCAGGTATTTCCCCGTATTTATAAAACATTGTTTCCTGAGCAGCTGTCTGGATGTCTCCTAGCGTGCACAGCCATGCTCGCACAGCCATCCTCTTCCTCACGCCGGGTCCCTCCCCACCAAACGCAGCTGCTGCTGCTCGAGAGGGGTTTTCCAGCAGCTCCGCACGGTCCTTGGATGGGGAAAAAGCAGCTCCTGGGGCTGAGAAAAAAAACCTCAGAAACTCCCCCACCTCCATGGTGCTTAACCCAGCCATGCCGAGGTCTCCTGCTTTTGGAGCCCAGGGAAAAACAGGGGCCAGAGGAAACCTAATAACTGCCCCGGGGCGGCCGAGCGCGGAGAGCTAAAAGAGAAGCCGGGTCCCTGGCTATGTAAATAAATGTCAAGTTATCTGATCACGCAGGCAATAAATAGAAACAGGAGAGCACGGCGATAGGAGCCGCATCCGCCCGGAGCGTCACTGCATGGACGGGAAGGGTGGGATGCCCCGGGCCCGGGGAAGGGACGCGCGGGAGGGCCTGGGGATGGAGCCGGGTTTGGTGATTTACAAGATGTGACAAGGCCAGCTGAAAATGATGGATAGGAGGTGGGTAATGCCGCTCCCCAGCTGGGCTCCGTTGGTGTTAGCGGAGGGGAGAGGACGTCCCCAGCTATTTATCATCTTTCCCCAGGCCCCTCTAGGACTGTGAACACCCAGTGTCCAGCACACGCTGGGTGGGTTAACCCTTTCCGAGGATGCCTGGGGGTAAGTCTCTGCCGCCCGTATCCTGGCTACAGCAGGAGGATGCGTTTTCGCTCTCCTTCTCTGTTTCTGCCCCAAAGCACCCGCAGATGGGTGGGATGCTGCTGCTCCGGAAGAAGCAGGCAGGGGCTGGCTGGGCTGGTTCCCAGATGGAAAACGGAGTCTTTCCCTTTTTCCAGGTTTTTTTTTTGTGCCTGGGGTGCAGTGGGGGGGAGCGCCTGTGGGCAGGCCGGGTGGGCAGCACCAGGCAGGCTGAGGTCGGCAGCTCATCACAGTAGTGGGGGTGATGAGCCCCAGCATCGCCTGCGCAGGGAGGGCAGGCAATGGGGGGGGGTGTAGCAGAAAACAGTGAACGGCAGCTGGAGCCACAGGGAACCCCCCTGGACCTCAGGCGTTGCCGATCCCTCCCGCAGCTCCTCGGCCAGCGCTGCCTTATTAGATTTGGCAAAATATTACGGGAGTGTTTGGAAGGTTAATTAACGCAAGGCACTGCAGCATGGGAACCCGGCGTCACCGATGGGTTAGCCCTCGGCCAGCCGAGTTCAGGCTGCCGAGCTGAAATAAAACCTGCCCCAGCACGATGCGCCCAGGACCACCCGGTGCCTTTTTACAGTCGCACGGTCTGCTCTGTGCAGGATTAGACCTGGCACCGTCCAGTCCTTCCCGCTGCTGACTGGGCAGCATCAGGGCATGCAACCCTCAGGGCATCCCCGATGCAATGCTCCCCCGCCATCCTGACCCTATAGGTACCAGGCATATAGGGGACCTGCTTCATCTGTGGGGAAACCGAGGAATGAGGCTGCGAGGGGAGCTGGCTGCTTTGCGCAGGAGAGCTGGGCTGGGGCCCTGCCCGTACTCGGCAGATGTTGCTGCTCACCAGCAAGAATCCACCTTGTCCCCCTGCCTGGGTGCTGCTTCTCATCCCACGTGAGCCCCAAGGATCAAATAAACCCAGAAACAGCTCCTTATGGTGCACTTTGGGCAGCGCAAAGGTTTTTCCTTCAACGTAAACTGTGTTTAGAGGAAAATCCTGCGCCTGGCAGCTCGGCAGCGGCAGGGTCTCCTTCAGCATCACCGTGCAGGAGCAGCTGTGGTGGGAGATGCTGGGTGCCCTCCCCAGCACAGGGATGGGGGAAGTGAGGGGCAAACAAAGCTGAACCGGAGCCGAGGTGCCGTTTGGGGCTGCGATACCAAACAGCCGTGGCTGTTTATCCCCTCCTGCTTCCCCTGCAAGCCCCGTGTGTGTGTCGGGGTGCAGCCGCACAGCCGGTAACCCGACGCTCCCATTCCTGTCATGTTTTACATGGCCGGGCATGTGGTTATATTTTGTTTTGCCAACCTTTGCTTTCCCCAAAGGAGGGAATGAAAGGGCCAGTGTGCCGCCAATTTATTGTGCCTCCCGAGAGCCCCATGGCTGCCGAAAAAGCAGATGCCTTCTGCTTAATCTGGCCTGTTGCTATGTAAACCTCCTTTCCCTCTTTGATGTCCCCTATAAATACTCCATGTGTTTCCAATAAACTGGCATTTTTATCACTGGAGCTGTTAAAGGCAGATCTGTGTCAGATTTGTCCCTGGGCTCGGCCGGGGGTTCGCTGGGGATAACCTCCCTGCCCTCGTAAAGGGGCTCATTGTATCTGGGAACGGGGGTGCGGGGCTGGGAGGGGATGCGGCCGCTGCAGCGACGGCACCTCTCTCGGGTACGGCACGATGCTCCCAGGGGAATGGGGTGCTGCCCGGATCCTGATCCCGCATCTGCTGGGCCTGAACCCCGTGCTGGGTCCACCACGGCCCCGGGGACCCTCAAGGCTTTGCCTGCCTGCCTGGGGCTCCCCCTCGCAGCCAGAAGTGCTGCTCGCTCACGTTTCTTTTCAGCCTTCCTTGCAGGCAAGCAGGAAGCCCGGGCTCCTTGGGGGTGATCTCAGGCATCTCTTTTTTTTTTTCCCCCCAACCCCTAATTTTGTCGCTTAAATGATGCGACGGCCAAAGGGTGTGCAGGGAATGCAACCCAGCGTCCTTCCGTGAGGAGCAGCCCAGAAGCAAGGACCTCCCCTCTTTTCGTTAATATTATTTCACTGAGATGTCAGGATGAGACCCACCTCACCTGCTCACAAACACCTTCTTAATCTCCCTGTAGTTCCCCCCTGCCCTTTCACTGATATAAATCTCTCTGATTATCATTGTCGCCCAAGGACGGAGCACAACCCCCCCCGCCCCCCGGCTCGGGGCACCTCCTCCATCAAGTTCATGGGTCAGTCCCTGTCCCCTGCAGCGGGTACTGCTGCTGTCGGTGATGCTGGCAGCACGCGAGGCTTTGGGGTGCTCAGCCCTGACGGGGGGTCCCTGGGGGAGCTGGGTTGCGGCTGGAGCATCAGCCCCACCCTTCTCTGCGGGAGGAGATGGCCTGGGGCGTCTGCAGAGGGGTGAGTAAGTCCCTGCGTCCTGGGACGTTTGGGGACGAGGTCTGAGTGTGGTCTGGTGCATTAACAGCCTGTGACAAGGGCGCTCATGTGAGGGAGCTGAGATGGACGGTGCTATATTTCAGAAGGGTGTTGGATACAGGCAAGGTTACTGTGGGTCTGGGTCTTCCCAAAAGCTCTGCGTGTCAGGTGTGAGCATCACCGTACGTTGTCACTGTGCAAAATTCGTCCTAAGAGACCCCGGTGGGGCAGGGGGCTCCGTTTTAAACCTTTCCAGCCTTGGACGCTCCTGCAGGGACGGGGCTCGCACTGCGGCTGCCTGCGGGATGGCAGCTCCGTCTCGTCCCCCCAGAGCTGCAGCATCCTCCTCCTGCCACTGCATCCTCCCCGGGAGCTTCTGCCCCTTCCACTGCCCGGAGATGAAGGTCTGGTTGTGCTCCTGCAGCTCCAGCATCTCCATCCCGATGCCACACCGCACGCGGAGGGCGCCTGCGTGGACCATGCTCTGGGCATGACCTGCACGAAGCTGAGCTCCCCATCAAAGCCCGGCGGCAACCGGGTTACCGGCTGTGGGGCTGGGCAACCAACGTCTCTGCCCTGTTGGGAAACAGGGAGAGGGGTTGTTGTGGTTTTTTTTTTTTTAATCCCTGTTTTGGCCTGAAATGTGGTGTCAGAAGCCTGGCTGATATATGCTGCAAAAAAAGGGGTCGGCAGCGCCGGTATTCTTTATTTTGACAGGGCAATGAAAGTGTTATGTAGTCGTGACGCCTCCCTGCTGCTCCACCCCCCTCGGCCTTTATTAACCTGAAAGAGCCCAGGATCCTATTTATAACCTAACCTGAATTGTGCAATGCATGGGGAAGGGGCCACAAAGAGCAGTGATTTATGAACGCGGAAAAAACAATGCAGACCCTCCGCGCTCTCCCCCAGTCCGGAGGGGAGACCCCTTCACCCAGCCCCAGCGCCGCGGGGACGAACCCCGGGGGGGTTTGAAACGCCCCTGCTTGGTTTGCACAAGGTGAAAGCAGTCCCTGTGCTCGCTTTTGGGTTTGAGATGGGAAGCCAGAGCCTCCTGGGCACCTGATTCCCCCCCGCCAGGCCCTATAGCTGCTATATGGACTGAGCGATCTGCCCTGTCCTGTTAGGGTTTGCAGCCTTCACGGGTGGGTTGTGTTGAACATCCCGAGGGTGTTTGTGCCCCAGCTTATCTCCTGGTGCTCTTCTGCAATGCTGCTCCCCTCGAGATGTCCACAAGCGTCTTTCTAAAATTATTTAATAGGTTTTAAATTAATTACTTTGATAAAAAGTGCTTTCTGCTCGCACGTCAGGAGCGCTGACAGATTGCAAAGCCCCTCGTTACGGCGCGGGGGGAAGGGGAG